TTGCACAGGAGTGTAGGGGAGAGAAGGTGAGCTAAGCTAAGGTAAGGTAAGGTAGAGACAAGGTAGAGGGGAGTTTATAGGGTAGTATTGGTCCGAGAGCAGACGTCGTTGCTGCAACGCAGGCGCGTGTGGAGATACACTGTGCAACGCCCACCTCAAATTGTTTATTTTTGTACAAGGGAAAGTGAGGGCTGCGATCAGAGCTCCCAACATGGCATCCCACCCCACCACCACCACCACCACCACCACCACCGCCACAACTATCACCATGGTGGTCGGGTGTGCGAGCTCCAATGAAGGGATAGTGATGGGTGGGTGCAATTGAAGAGGACAGTGGAAAGGCAAGTGGATAGGTGAAGGGAGACATGGAGAAGAGATGCTCGGTTAGAGGCACAGACTGACGGAGGGACAGCAGGAGGAAAAAAAAGGGGTGGAAAGAGAGGAAGTGGGGGAGGATCCCATTAGGGCCGTAGAGCGGCCATGACCTGTGTGGCTACCTTCTGAAATTGGATGGCAGAGCCGCGGATGCGTTTGAGACAAACGGCGCGTTGGTGCAGACGTGGAATGGAGCACACTTCCATCTCCCACTGCAGCATATCCGAGGAGACTGACGAGGAGGCCACTCCCCTGGTCCCCTCTAGTTCGCCTAGCCCTGTACTCGTACCTGCCCTCGCCTCTGTCTCTGAACCCACCTCTGCGATCTCCATACTGCCTTCTGTGTTGCTGCTATCCGAGAGCACCTCAGACCACCCACAATGCAACAGGTACATCCACTGATAGTCCGCCTCCCACTGACAGCCCCTCACCGCCTTTAACGCATGCTTCATCTCATTCATTAATTCCGACGCTGTCTTCGTCGAGGTAACATGTACCCCCCAGGGATTGCGCACCTCTCGTGGCTTTGAATAGATCTGCCGCTTCCCTCCGCCTATCAATTGTGTTGGCGCCGAGGCTTGCTTCGACGGCCTGTAGCATCGACGTTTGAAAACGGGTAGGGGTACGAGTAGGAGCATGCGGAGAAAAGAAAGACCAGGATGAGTACGGTGATGATGTTGATAATGGAAGGCGGAAGATAAGTGTTAGGAGGAAAGACAGTATTATATATTAATGTCTCATTCCCATTTTTCCATTGTGCATATACACCTATTACCATAGTAACCGAATGAGGTGATATTACTGATGGAAGTTTATAGCCATCCTAGTCTACTGCGATTTTGGCCTCATTACTGTCGGAAAGGTGTGAGTTTCAGCAACGAAGGTTTACCACTCAATTAGCTAGCAATTAATATGGGTGGCTTAGAACCCACCCCACGGATTTGTAAATGCAACGAACTCACCCTTGAAGGAAGCTTCCAAGTGCCCGAAGGAAGTTCCGCGTCCATGTACTCTGATGTGCTGAGGACTGAGGTCTGAAGAAAATGAAGTGATGAAGGAAGTCCAAAGAGGATAAGAAAAACAAATATTCAGTTGGCTTACGAGTTATAGCCAGGTATATCATGAGAGCGACGTTGCTCCGTGCTAGTGGAATGATGTCCGCTGTCCGTAGATAGACTGGCGGCAGCGACAGCAGCGGCGGCGGCGGTAGGATTTAGAGCCATTTGGCTGGCAGCTGAGCCGAGGTTCTTGCCTTCCACCACTACCACCACTGCATCGGAGGCGCGCGCTTGTGCGCTGCCCACGCCGCCACCGGCTTCCTTAAACTCCTCTCGTACATTCTCCACCACGTCTTCCACAATATTCTCAGCCACCTTTGCTACAGCTGCCGAGGCTGAAGCATCTCCACTTGTAGCCTCCTCCTAAAATGTGAATAGAAAATTCCAATGAGATAAGAAAACAAAATTCAGAGGAGAGAGGGATGTACTTACTCGATTGGAGGAGGAGGAAGAGTGGGAAGCAGTGGGGGTGGCATTGTGATGATGGTGATGGCGATGATGTTGCTGCTGCTGCCCAGGGGAGGTGACAGATATACCTGGCAGCTCAGTTTTAGCGGAACGCACGCCCGAAGCCATCGCACCCACCGATGCTGAAGTGGCGGCGGTGGTGGTTGCATTCGCACTGTGTTGTCCCCGACTCTGGCCACCGCGCTTTTGACGCGAGCTCAAAGGTACGGGCGCTGGTGTTACTGAGACTCTGGAAATAAAATTAATTATCCCTTCATCTCGATTGGTCATACGTTTACTGATGTTATATTGCGACACTGGTTAGGTAACAGAAGCAGTATTTTGGCGTTATTGCTCTCCCTGCTCCTTTTTTGCCATATGGCCGTACAGAGAATGGAGAGGACGTGCTCATTTCCAATGGAGACGAACACATACAAGCGAATGCTGAGCGTGTCCGGGGCGAAACGCTGCGCCCTCAGCCAATTGCTTTCAAGGGCGGTTGGGATGGCACTGATGACGTATGCGCAGATTTGCACGTGACATAAAGGTCGGATGCGCCTTTTCCAATAAGTGGAAATTATTATCCATAATTTCCCCCCCCCCCCCTTGGTGAAAAATAGCAAACCACTGACCTTGTAAATGACAAGTGGTACTGCTTCGAAGAGGTAAAACAGCTTTTCCTAAATGTTTTACGAGGAGATGAGCGGGGTTTGACGAAAGCCGTTATTAGGAAGCGGGTTGGGATTCATACATTCTCCTCGAGAATCAATACGTTTCTCCTAAAATCTCGAATCTTATGAACCCCATATAATGAAGGGATTTGTGAAAAAGTTACCTAAATTTGGCTTAAATTTGACTCCTGAAACCACCCATTTCCCTATACAATGGAAACCTACACATGAGGACAACATTCGTATACTCTACTCAGCGCCAATGCTATTATGGTTACCAGTGAGACTCGGAAAGATGTCATTAATGAATTTCGTCATCTAACAGGAAACCAGAAGGTTAGTTAATAGTTGGAACAACAAAAATTTGATGATTTCGAATTCCAAGAAATGTACATTTCTAAACAGAGTATTAATGTGATCAGACATAACAAATTTGCCTGGTCCTGAGCCATTTGATATTTGCGCAGTGGCATGGAAAGTGAGCTGATAAAAAATAACTTGAACCAGCCCGCTCCAGATTCTATGTGCAGATTAAGCAGCCAGTGAGAGGGTGCATGAGAGAATAAACTAAATGGCAGACAAAACGGCTCTTGTATGTATGTACACGCACACATGCAAACAAACAACTCCAGGGTGACCTAGCTGTTGCAAATTCCCACACCAGTGTAGAATCAGCTACCCAACCAGCTAAGCGGCTAACTAGGAGATATCAGTGCCAAAATTATGCCTGCCATAGGTTTTTGGTCAGGTCCCGGTGAAAGTGGACCTTCACAAAGGCACAATGGCAACATAAGTGAGTGTGAAGCAGATTTTCAGCATCACTGGACGCCACTCAGCGTCTGCATTATTTGGGTTGAGGAGAGACGTGAATAAGGGGAAGGGCAGGGAATGTTAGGAGGCCTTGAGAGCTCACGGGGTAGTCTGATGGTGTTTGCTATGCGAACGAGTGTTCACGGGCAGTGACATTCGCCTACATGTAGATAAGACAAAAGAACTTAAACCTAAGGTATTGTATATTTGATTGTTAGCCTTCTCAACTTCACTTGTGCAAGAACACTTGAGGCGTGACGCACATAGTTTCATAGAATGAGAGTAAGAGAGAGAGAGAGATGGAGAAAGCCAGGAAACGCCCTTTAGAAGTGCGCCTCTGGCAATTATTTACTAATGGAATACGTATACCTATAGACCTGTGTGTGTGTCTGGCATGGAGAAATGCGCACAACAAGTTAAGCAATCGCGCACACTCACCGGGGCTGAAGGTCCTTCGGTCTGTAGTGTTTCACTGAAAGGCAAAAACACAGACAATATATAACGTCTTTTCTCGTCAACTCAGAACGAATAGTAGCACCATTCTGGGGTGTAGAATGGGCTATAAAGGTCTGTTTCACGAGTTCTCATGGATTTCAGAGTAGTTCCTGTCTCCATTTGATACATAAGTGATAAATCTTGATCCGTAAGCGGTTGTTGGCGGCTAAATATGAACAATTGATTTATGAATCTGAACTGGCGATACAAACCAAAGCATAACCGCATCCCTTCTCGAAATTTGATCAACATCCTCATTTGGGAAAATCATCGCACTACTGACCCGGAGGCAGTCAATTTGACTTGCGCAGGAGCGCGTTAACCAGTCAGAAAGTGGGAGTTGATAAGCCTCCAAAATTTATAGTAAAACTACAAGGAAATGAAGTCGCTTCTGGAAGCACCACCGCCACCATCACTGCTATCGTCATCGCTGCTGTCGTCATCACTGCCGCCCCACCCTGTGCGTCAACAGCTCCTGCGACCTCAAACTGAACCAAAAATGCATTGTTTTCCACATCGCCTTGCCCGGAATGAAATTACATTCCCGTGCGGTGGTTTCTCTCTGTTTCAATACGTGTATACGTATTCCAAGCATGTACACACACCCAAAAGTTTTGTGATCAAGTAACAGTGCTACGATTTCAAAATCGTAAGCAGAACACACCGGTCATACCGCCAGCCTCGACGGAGGGCTGTTCCGGTCCGTTGGATGGAGTAGCAGCGGTGGCAGAGAAGGTATTGGAAGCAGTGGAGGTGGCGGTGGTACTAGAGCTACCCTGACCGGTGAGCGATCGACCCATGTTGACAAAGGCGCGTTTGAGCGCAGCGGGTAGAGAACTAGTAGCCGAGTAGTTAGAGGAAATGGAGGCATTATGAGAGCCTGGAGGCACTGTGGGCATCTGCTGTTGCAGGTGGTGAGCCCTCAGGCCCGGCTGGCGTCGTGGCGTCTCTGTCGCCGGCTCCACTGTGAACCGACCCACCGCGGTTCCTTTTCTACCTCCGCCCCCACCGCCACCTGAACTCTCCGAAGAGGTCTTTGGGATTACCTCCAGAGACGGAATGTTCCTGGCGCAGTGACAAGGGGGGAGGAACTTTCAAACCAGAGTTCTAGACTATTATTTGTTTGAAAAACCAGAAGAATTATTTGCAATTAGCACTGACGTTCCTTCTCCAGACGACTGATTTCGGCCCTGAATGGGAGAAAGGTCACTATGGCAGTCAGTACGCTGCTGTTGTAAACTGTTTAAAAGTATGCTGATATAAACACATGGATACCCATGCACAAATGACCGTAACACCAGAAGGAAAAACAACTAAAAAGTCTTGAATGATCTTTGCCCTAGGTAATAAATTCACTATTCTTCAGAGGTGTTCAGTGCAAATAGCCTAAAGGCATTCACTTCTGGTTAAAACTAGGCATATGACGCCAATAGACGCATTGACATC